CCCCCCCCCCCCCACACTTTTCAATTAATGGTCCATCCCTGTAGAAGATTTTATTATTGCTATGAAATCATTATTTTTAACTCTATTTTTTTTAGATTGTTATATTGAACCCCACTATCTAATCTGATCAGCTCAGCACATTTGTGAATTGCATCCCTGCGCCAGTTAAAAACGCCTATATTTAATTTAAATAAACATTTAGCAATTTCTTCTCTTAGTTGCAAGGAGTTATTGATCTTCTCAAATTCCTGATCTATTATTAATACAGTAGACTTTCTCTAAGACGGACACCTTTGAAAGCAGCACTATGTGTCCGTCTTTGAGAGACGTCCGTCTTCGGGTGGACTGCCATTGTAGCATTTGAAATAAAGAAACAGAAATAAAATATCGTTTATGCACAAACTTGGTTTTAAATTACCTGTGGGTTTTACAGGTTCTTACACCGAGGGTGAGCCAAATTTTCCCGGGCAAAGCAATCTAATTTTACAGAAAAAGGTGTCTGGAATACACAAGGTTGTGAATTTCAAGGACCCTTCAAGACCTAACAAAGAAATCAAGTACTTTTTAAGGACCTAAACTTGACTCAAGGACTTTTCAAGATGACTAGCAATATTCAAGACCTTTTCAAGATTGTACAAACCATGAAAGCATTATAAACTCTCCTTGTTTGCAAACTGAACCATACAGTATTTTGTAGCTGGCTTTCTGAATTATCGCTTTTCTTACACGTGTTACAGACATGACTATGGAAACTGTAAACACAAAAGTCATTCAACAGTTCCAGATGACCATCATTTTTTCCAGAATTTATCTTGATTTCCCATCCTAAGTTGTTTCAAAACTTTTCAAGAATTCAGGCCTCTGTGATAACCTGTTTATACTGACTGAAGAAAAGCTAAAAAACAAATTGTTTTTTATACAGTTGCCAAATACTGTTTCATTGTAACAAGAAATTCATAAGTGTTTGTTTTAACTTCAAGACTTTGTTCTTCTGTAACAGAAATAATTATTACTTCTATTAGAGAAAAAGGGCAAACTTTCTAACTTGATTTATCAGAGTAAGAAATCCACAAAGGAGTTTGGCCAAACACTTATAAAGCTTGAAAATGCCATAGCAAAATTTCTGTGTTCTTTTGTCATCCCATTTGGGTTTATTATCCTGACCAATCAAGAAAAAATTGTTGGATGCTTAAATAACACTTCAAAGAGAAAATAAAACACACAATTCATTTGGTTAGATAACTTTAATTTGGACAACCATGAACTACACAAACAACAAACATAAGAAAACAGTGATCACCCGAGTGTTAACACCATGTCCATATTACTGAAGTTCGGTGCACCGCCAACAACTTATCCTGAGAAAAAAAGAGAGTATACAACACACAAGAACATAACACCCTTCCCAACTGCTGTTGTCAAGAAAATGCTTTAACAGAGGGCCTTAGGGTACAGAGGTGACAAATCATAACAAGGGTTTCAAAGCCTTTCAATAAATTCATTGATGGGAATTGATTCCTTTCATTGATACAATGATCCATTCACGAAATGAAAATCCAATATTTAACTTCAGCCTTACTCAAAAATTATTGAATGTTGACTGGATCAATGAAAAAAGCCGTACCTGTACTCTCTTCCACATACAGCTTTCACAGACTACCCTGAGATAAGCTTAGCCACTACATGTGTTATGGGTTTCATCTGCACTAAAAGCCTTGGTCAGGATGTTCAAAGCCGGGTTAAGATAATCCGGGGTTGTGCAAAATTTGAATTCAAATATGAAAGCTTGAAAAGCAAATTCAGATTAATCCACTTTGTCCTCAACTTGATGAATGGATGCTCTAAAAAGAATAGAGAAATCATCCAAGAAAATAATCTTGAACAAAAGAAAAAGAAACCCGGATTAACATTTAATCCCGGCTTAGCAATAATCAGCTTTTGAACAACTAGGCCGGCCCTGACTGTCAAACTCTACATTTTTT